TCCCTTTTTTTCAATAGTTCAAAGTTTGCCTTTTCGTCAAAGGTGATGGTAGCTCGTTGCCAAAGATTCCTAGTTTCTATAGTAAAACGAACGATATTACCAAATTTGGAAAATAATTTCCTTAGTCTTGTTTCAGTAGCATCTAAAGGGATTTCTGTGACCGTAATCGACAGAGTAGGTACGTAAGGTGCAGATTTTTTTATATCGAGTGGTAGAAACGTGGTGTTTTCCATTTCAGTAGATCTGTGTTTATAAAATTCGTCACATTTGATCTTGTCTAAAAAGACAACTTTGATGATAACCTGATTTTGTTCGGTTGGATGCCTTCCTTTTGTGGCAATAATAAATGAGTTATATTTGTCATAACACAAATCAGTAATCGTCAAGATTTTCATTTAGGGGTTCAGACCACAAAGTTTTTCCATCGGAATATAGGCGAAAAATTTGGTAACTTGGGTTGAGGGAGCATCAAAGCCTATAGTTGTAGTATTTAAAGTATTTTCTGACGCGTCAAAAGACTCGTCTACACTAGTCGTTGGTTTGGGTGCAGTAACATCAGGGGTTGTTGAAGTTGAGACGGTAGTTTTAGGACTTTTTCTTTTGTTAAGGTTGTTGGAGAAACTTTCTTCAGCTAGGTCGACTTCCATAGTATTTGTCTCTTCAGGAAGGATAGTAACAAGAGGTTCTTTTACATAAGTAAGAGAGAGGTCGTTGTCTGAAGTTTACAATGTATTCTGTTTCTTTTTTGGTATTTTGTCTGATATTGGCGACGCCGAGCGGCCGCGGTTGGTATTCTTTCTTTCTGTTTTTTTGGGCATTTTTTGAATTGTCACGGAAAGAGTTTTTTTTAAATTAAATTATTTATAAAAATGGAAATACTATGTAATATATGCATTAATTTTCTATTTTTAATACAACTTGTGTATATGACTTTTGGTCTAAATTTTATATACTGCTATAGAGGAACGATTAACTGATAGGAGTAATCAAGGATATTTAGAAGAATCCTCAAGAAGTATATTGATTATTTGAATAACAATAAGACTCACCTTATTGGAATATCACCAGCTCATGTTATGATTTTAGAAGAAGTTGAATCAAAGCCTTCTAAAAAACTTAAACATGTAATTGGAAAAGATGAGAAGATAAAATTACAAAAAGGTATAGCAGTTAAATATCTGTTAAAAGTAGGTAAGTTAAAAGAAGACTATAGATATAGAGTAATAGATCTGTACTGAAGCTTGCATGTTTACAGAATAAAAAGAGTCATTGTCAGAAGAAATTCACTACAACCAGTCTTATATTATCTTGAGGGTGAACCCGTTGAATCAACTGCCCATCTGATGAAGCAAAATCTAAAAAGACCTTTTAAATATGAGAAACTTGAAGTAATTGAGAAACCTAATAAAATTGAGTATCTATCTGATGGATTTATGTGAAAATATCACTCTATTGAATTCGTTTATTATATTCAAATTGCTAATAATAATTTAATTAAAGCCCATCAATATGCTGAAAAATATGGTAGCTAATGTTTAAAAAGAACTAGGCAAGTAAATGGTCATAATGTTTATTTTTGGTCCTGTAAAAATAGTGTGTATCAATAGAAGTATCCATTATAATACATTATGAAAAAATTTGAATTGTACCTTCTATGCTATCATACTATCAAAAGAAATGTACATTACATTTTTGAGGATCTTTTAGGTAAGAAATTCTCATCATGTAGGCCTAATTTTTTGGATGGAATGCATCTAGATAGGTATAATGAGGAATTGCATCTTATATTTGAATATCAGAAATTCCAGCACTATCAACACAATAGACTTATACTATCAAAAGAGTAAAAGTTTAGAAACCCAAAGAATGCGTGATTAGAAGAAGTAGGATATGTGCAAGAAACAAAGTATATGTCTTATTGAAGTTTCATATACCACTGATCTCCTATCCTATATCAGACATATTCTAACTGAGAAAGGGTTCTTGAAAGAGGCAAAGCCTAACCTTTGAAAGTTCATATGATTTTGGACAAATAAGTTTGCTGAAATTTCTCATTTGATGTGCTTTGTATATCATACTATATGGAATTCTTTGTATATAACGTTGACAAGATCCTCAGAAATCTTTAGAACAAATAAAGGGCAATAAATATAGTTCAAATTAGCCTTTTTATTTTCTAGTTACTAGAGGTTCACATAGTAGAAAAACTAATATGATTATCAATTTTATTCTAGGTAACAAACTCTAATGTATATTTAAAGATAAGAAGGGATGATTTCATTTTAGTTAAAAAGTATGCTGAACCTAAATGGAAACTAGTAAAAAATGCTATTCATATTTTGTGAATAGTCCTATGCTATATCAAGAGAATATTACATTTCAAATAATAAAGACGAAAAAGATTCCAGATATAAGCAAATTCTTCATGAAAAGAAGCACTGTTATTATTTTTAAAGATCTTTATGCTAAATCGAAAAAGTACAAGAACTTTAGTCCCTTACTTTATTAGTGAACGGCATCAAAATATATACCCTATATACGTGACTCAGAAATATCAAGCTGTGCTGAAGATAATTTGTGAAAATATTTCACATTTAATCATGTTTTGAGGCAATAGTAACCAGGACAATATTCATAAAGTTATGCATCAATATACGGATAATCTAAAAAAAGCATCTAAGATCATTGATAAGTATTTGTAAGATAAAAATTTTGTAGTCTTTTATTTTACTAAGCTGATAGATAATCTATTAGCGATTAGATTAGGCTGAGATTCTCCTTTGAAGCTGGATAAGTAGAATTTCTTAAGTCTAAGAACGAAATGTATATTTTTTTCTGATTTCTAAATTATGTTTAGATTTACTATGCTTCTTCACCTATAATTTTCTTTCATAAATACTAGAATATATTTCCAGTTCTATAGTCACATCACTATGCTTTGTTTGGAAAGGATCTGATCAACAAGAGTGATAATTTTTCTATCTTTAATAGAAATAATGTTCTTCAAATACTAGCATTTGGGTTGATTGCTAGGACAATTAGGTTCTGAGAATTTTTTAGCAAAATTGAGATTTTTATTGCATTTTAGTTTTTAATATTATTAGATTAAAATGTATTAATTCTTAATTTTAGTCAAAAATTTCTCAGAACCTAATTTTCCTAGAAATCCTTCAATTTATTCTCTAACATGTTAATGGATTTTTCTGCTGATGCAATAACTTTTTTCATATCAGAGATTATACTTTTAAAAAAAGCTACTGAATTTGATAATTGGATGACTTTCTCATTACTCTCTTTCAAAGACCTAATCATAGCTACCTCACGAGATTTATATTGCTCTTGCAAGTTGAAAGCTCTTTAATCTTTTTTTTCAATACTTGTTTTGATATACACAATTCCTCATTTTCTTACCTTAACAAAGTTTCACAGTCGCTAATAATAGGCTTCATCTTCTGATACTCTTTTTGCTTAATATAATTTTAACTAACAAATCTTCTACTTCGGGATGGATATTACTTATCTGTTCTAGTAATAATAGATGTTTTCATAATGTAAGATGTCATTATATATCTATTTTAATAGAATGAGAAAGCTAGTTAAGTTACTTTGAGTAATATACGTGAAAAGATGGTGTTAATATACCAATTATTATTACCACAGGTAACTAATAAAAAATTTTGAGAATTTTATAAATTCAAGAAAAATTTTAAGAATTTTACACATTCAGAAATTTATTTGTCAATGAGTATATTGTGAGTTACATTATATATGTCAAGAGATCAGCTAGTCCTATTAAATCATTTAACTTCAATTGTTAATAATTTTATTATTCTCAGCCTTAATTTTATCATTTTCAACCTCAAGCTTGATAATGTATTATTTCAATAAATTGATTATTTTAGAATCATCTATTTCAGATTGTATACTTGTGTAATTTAATATATGTTAATATTCAAAAATAAAAAAATCATGTGATTTTGCCTCACAGTCCCTTAGCGAAATTTGTTAAAAAATATTTTTATTAATACTACTATGCAAAAATAAAATACATAAAAATACATGTATTGAATCTCTATTTTATGAATTTTTGGGGGTCAAAACTGTTACTACCATTTCACTAAAACTATGCTCACTATCTCTAGAGTCAGGACTATATAAGAAGGAATAAAAAGTATTGAGTATCTTTTAAAAATGGTATTATAAAATAACTAACATATAAACTTTATTTTTTTTATTTTATTAAATTACAGATTAATATTCATTAGACCTTTATTTGCTATAAGAACAGCTTGAACCTGATGTGATATAGACTTAATTAAATTACAATAATAATTTACGGGTATCACATTCTATTCCTCCTTAACCCACTGCTTTAATTACACATTACTTGATGGTTGTAAATTACGTTTATGAATCCTAACCTCAATATGTGATCAAATATTTTCTATTGCATTAATATCAAAGCTTTGAGCCAGCTAGAGAAGCATTCAAGAAAAAAATGAGCAACTCTTACAGTATAGATAGGTGCATTATCCTCTTGAAATAAAATTTTTTTGATTTTTTTTGCATGAGACTTAACCGTAGGAACTGTATAATTTTCTAGAACTTTATGATATATATTTCCAGTTATGCAACTAACTAAAGGGACTAAAGAACCCATACTAATTTAAAAGAAATATTTCCAAAATATGTGATCAAAGCTTTTTTAGACCAAAGCTTTTTTAGACTGTAGCTGCAATGCAATCTTCATAATTCACGTTATAGCTACCTAAAACCTGAGGTTTTAAATTGTATGTAAGTAAACTTATCTGACTAAACTACTTTTTTAAAATCCTTTACTATCTAATTTTTATAAGTACAAACCCAAAATAACCATTTTTCTTTATTCCTTTTGAAAATTAATGGATTGAAATGAGGAATGCGTGAGCAAAGACCTTGTTTAGCTAATTCTTTACAGATGATTTGTGTAAAAATGGTTTTGTTTGTTTCATTTATAATATTTAATCATATTTGAGCAAGGGTTTAACAGTGGGTTTTTTATTACTAACTACTAAATGCTTGAGTTCTTCATATTCAAACTTATCAAGAATTCATGGTCAATCTGTTCATTTTTTTTGGAATTTCTTTTAGCCTATACGATCTCTACATACGCTATACAGAAGAAATAGAATAATTGATAACTGCAGAAATTCTGCTATCTGTATTGTCTAACTTTTTTGCTACAATGATACTCTCTCTTTGGCTTTTACTAAGTTCTTTTTCAAGACACATTTGTGATGACAAAATTTTTTTAACTATAAAATAGAATTTTTTTTTGTATAACACATGTAACTCACTTTTTATCTCAACAATAATACTTTATTTATTTTGACTGTTACATAACAATCGCGACTAACTAAAATAGAAAAAAAATATAGCTTAATTTAGCAGATGTGTAATAATATGTGTTACGTCTAGATCATATCATATGTTCAATACTTTTTATACCCCCCTGTATGATATTTTATGAATTGTACAGGTTACAGCCATTCTTAATGTTAATTAAGTATAGATAAGTCGATATATAATACTTAATAAAGTCATATGTAATGGAATTGTTACCTCTTCTATTAAACAGTACTTATAAACGTCTGATTCTTTTTAAATAGCATAAAGTTCTATAATATCACCTAGAAGTAGATAAAGTAAAATATATACGATTTATGAATATATAAAAATAGAAATAATTTATTTATACCTGTAATGTTAATAGTGAATATGGTTAGATTCTACCTCCTTAATGGTTGGTTAAATATTTTTTATATTTCTCGTAGTGTTAATAGAATCCTTAAAAAAACGTATTAATTTTTTGTGATTACGATCCTGCTTATCTTAACTGAAATTAGGTCTACTAGTCTCAAGATAAACAATTTCAAGTTCAGTATTTTTTTTGAACTGGGCTACTATTATATAATCAGCTTTTTTAGCAATTTTATGAGAATCTTTTCATATTGCACTAGCTGAATTCCCTTCTTTACCTCTTAATTTAGAAAACATTAATTATAGCAAATATAATAGTGAAGTAATGAAACTTTTTGAACTAAGCCTACCATATGTTCCATGCTATAAGGTTTCCTAGTAAATCGCTCATCATTATATTTAATAATAGCATAAGCATTTTACAAATATATGATCCTTCATTTATCGATTTTTCTTTCTTTATATATGCATTATATTTTAGTGATTCTTAAACCTTGAGCCTATAATTATTTATTGGTTAGTGAGCAAAGTAAAAAATTATATAAACAGATTTTGGCAAGAATTGCTTGCTGGTAACTTACATAGATTCTAACATCTGTTTTGTTAGATTTTGTAATTTTTTGGGCTTATTTAACTATTCTTCATAATTAATATTACCCAAAATCTTGTCTATATTAATTTTCGATTCTTTATTTTGAATAAATTCTTTACAAGCTTCCATTATATCATGATTTTGTTTTAACTTATATTTTCAAAATGGCTTCTTAAAAATATTAGAAACTGATCTAGACGTATTTGTAAAGGGTTCTAACTTGATATCTAGAACACCTGAACAAATTGGATAATCGAATCCAAGATTCTCTATATTTATTTTCTTAAGTTCTGTTTCTATTCTTTCCTACATGGTTTTCTCATAACTAGTACTCTTACTTTTACATTATATTTTAAAGATCATAAATTCACATTTGCATCTTTATATTAGGCTTTAGTGTTGATTACTAACACTTTTATTTCTGAGAATGAACAAAGATCTTTGAATGCTGTTGTAATCTAAAAATGTATCTAATATTAGTTTCTCAAGACTCGTTTGACAAATAATTTAATATTACATCATAGGATCAGATTAGGTTTTCATTTGCATAAAGCTTCAAGTGCTGGCAAAATGTTTTATATATAACTATCATATATAGTATAAAACTAGTTACTACTATGCAGGAAGTAATAATATTACAATAGACATCAGCTTCTTCACTAGTGATTATACTATACTAGAAAACCTAAAAAAAAGCATATCATCATATTCATATATTTATTATGAAAATAGTTTATTACCTTACCTGTTAGCTAATTTTTTCTCAGTATTAAAACTTCAAAGCTTTTTTATCTGTTCAATATTCTTTGAGAGAACTTATTCTAAAATTTACTTTAAAATATTTTTAAAGTTCTTCACCCCTTTTCAAAATTGCCTATCTATTCACCTTTTTTTACTTGTACAAATAATACCGTAGAGATTCTGATGATATCAAGAGGCTCTTTTGTTAAAAGGAATTTTTTCATGTTTTGATAGAATAAAAAAGTTAATATTAGTGTAAAGCTTACTAGGCAAAGTAAAAAAAATAATGCATAGTAAACTCCAATATCTTTTCACCATACTGCCTTTTTGTTTACTTTATAAATCCCATTTACATCTTCTCTAACTCACATTCATATTGGAAGAAAGAGATAGGAAAAATATAGGAGGCACTTTATGCTAAAATTTTGTATTTGAGAATAAGAGTATATAGAATGTGCATTAAAGATCTTAATATTTAGAAAGGTATTAGAAATAATGCATATACGAACTTTTTTGCTCAACTGCACAAAACCTAATATATATAGATACTATTCTACTTGGAATATAATAGAAATATCTCGTCCTTTCAAACAATATACATATCAGTAAATGCTATTCTGCTAAAAATTATTCAGCTAAATATTGTGAGAAAAAAATTTGAAATATTATTGAGAATCGATTTCTTATGTGTGAAAATTAATTTGTTATACAAGTAATCACACAGATTTACAGATAATTTGTGAAGTATTACCTATTACATTATATAAACTTTAACAAGAATTGAAAAATGTGCTAATTTATATTACACACGCCTATATGCGTCATACTAGATTTTGTCTTATACAATGATAATTAATAATGCAATACAATTCAAACAAAAATCTTCCTGAGAAATCAGAAATGGGTTCATATATTATCTTATCCAATTATTATCTTAACTGATATTTCTTAATTTTTATTTTATCTATCTATTAGGAGAATAATAAACACATTCTTTATATGATAGAATTACTTTAGCTGGATTAATTATTCTAATATATTCTAAGAAACTTTTTCTAAATAGAGCATGAAACTTATCACAAGCTATATTATACTCTTCTCGAGTCTTAGAATTATTTTTATTTGAGGAATTATAAGTATATCTAAAAATTTCTTTCTATTAGAAATACCATCATTCCTCATCACTTTTCAAAATTTTTTTGCTGAAGATTCAGCTCTATTCTTGTAATTTCTGTAAGCTCGCTGGATAACTGTTACATAGAAATTTTTAAAACTATAATCATAGTATTTAGGAATCAAGAATTTTCAAGATCGCTTTATTGACTTTCCTAAACTTCTCAAAAAATAGATTAGAGGATCTAATCCAAATTAGGCAAATCAGATTTTTTATCTAGCAGGTAATATATTTCACAATTTCACTAGGCGATCATCCATACAGCTATTTATTTTGCAAAAAAAAAATATTATAAATAATTTATATATCACACTTTCAGCTAAATATAGTTGAGATAAATAATATTATTATTCAGTCAAAAGATATTAAGTTTACTGTATCTTTGCATTATTTTGTACAGAATTAAAATATTCCTCAGTATTAATCAAGACCTGGTTTCTCTCAAGTCTATATGCCAAAATCTCTAGTATACTTATACTATGTCACATAGTATAACTCTCAAAGCTATTCATTAACGCAATAGGCTTTGGTAACAATGGAAGAGAAGTCAATAAACATGGCTTATTTGTCTTATAGAAATAGTATCTCTGGTATTGAATAGGAAAAGAGATTAAAAAGGTATTATCCATATAGATATTTTTTGCTGGTTATGAATATAGTAAGGCTTGCTATGTGTAGTATTTATATTACTTGCATTTTATGTTTTTGCTTGATATGTCAAATCCTATTTAATATATTTTCCAACTACATCTCATATTGATAGATTGCCTTCTTTGTGAAATAGCAGGATGGAGGATTATTTTTCAGCTTTTTATAGTCTTCGAAGTCCATATTACAATATTCATTTCTGATACAATTTGTATGCCAATACTTATCCATAAAAAATGCATGAAAATACTTATATCTATTTCTTAATTTGGAATAGACTAGCTGATTTTATAGGCAGACTTTCCTATGATTGGCTATTGTAGATCAATTTAAATTGGGTATTATTTATACAGTTTAAAGTACTTTTTCAAAAAATGGTATTATATTTAGTAAAAAAAAAATTTTTGCTTACCATTTAATTCTTTAGAATGTTAAATAACTGCTTGCAAAAAGAATTCAAAATAATCTTAGTTTTAAAAGAATTTGATTAAAGATGACATACTATAATAACGAAGCTTAAAGATCTTTATATTGTTATAAAACTTGTTTTAAAACTTCTAATAATCCAAAAAAAAGTTTAAAACTTGTATTTAAAAAAGTTAAAAAAAACTTTGAAATACTCTTGTATAATATGAAAAGAATAAAACAATTAAATAATTAATGATTTATTATATTTTAATTTGCTTTTATTACTTTCACGAAAGATATAAAATATTATATATATTATCATTATATGTCAAATTTGTATATGGTCGAGATTATGTGATCATATTTATTATTTTATTATTGGTCAACCTTTTTGTTGATCGTACTTATTATAGAAATACTGATCAATATTATAAACCAATTAAAAGTAAGTCTTCCTATGAGAGCTGATTGCAAAAATAGCATATTCCTATATTTACTTCGAACCAAATATCACATGCATATAATTTTTTCTATAAACTATTAATATGTTTCAGATTCGCTTCTTCCAGTCAGATGGAATCTCATTCTCACATATCTTAGAAAGATCATAGTTAACATGTGAATCAGTTTCACTTAAATATATATAGGGATCAGAATATATCATATTTAATAATTTTAGCGATTAAGAGATTTATAGCAATTTATAACGTTTGTATCAAATATATTATAATAAAATATCAGATTCATTTTTATTTGATTACAAGCAGACCGGGGTAAAAAAATCAAAAGGGATCTTAGAACATAGATTATTTAATTCATATATATGTAGATTAGTTTACAGAACTTTATGATTTAAATGCTTTGCATGTATCATTTTATTTTTCAGATGCGCTATCTGCATATATCATACATTTATTAAAAAAACACTAAGCCGAATGTGAGCAAATTTTATTAATTTTTGAGAATTTTTTTTTTACTATGATGTGTGATATGCAAGTCACAGGTACAGTAATGTGACGTAGTAATAGTAAATTATCTACATATTTAATGTCACCTCAAGACTCCATAATAGATGATAGTGACTCGTCCTATCATTGCCCTACCTCTGCATCTACATTGATAATACCTCATCTTTTCACGCATATAGGAAAAAATGCTAAAGACTTTGATCGTTACTAATGAAAATAGTTTTTACCAAGAATTATAAACTAACTATATTATCTGACCATGAATTATGCAAGTGGGTAGTCATTCAATGACTTTATCACCTGAATACGTTACTATTTCATTAGTGAATTGCTACTTGAGGTTATTATATTGCACAAAAAATTGGAATTCCCAAAGATTTTAGGAGAATCATACATATGATTGTCTAACCAATTTGATGGATTGATTCTGAGAAATGTTTCAAGTGAAGTAAATTATCACAAAAATATGTAATACTATTCAAAATAAACCACTCATTAAATGTATTGCATAACAGTAACTGGATAATAAATCATGTAATTTCTGCGATTGGCAAAAATACAGAAATATTTTTATAACCTAATGTTTCTTTAATATTATATGGTAATGTGTGGGTGATCCCATAGGTGTTTGAACTTTTTGGTTTACTCAACCTTGATCTTCTTGACTCATTTGATCTTCCTGTCTCAAACATAATTATGCAAGCGATTTTTAGCAATCCATACAAATAAGTATTATATATTGGTTAAAAATTATATATAAGTCATTGCCAGAAGAATTGTTGTGTAATGTACAGTATCTAGAAAAATATATATACGTAAACAATGTCAAGTATTATTTCAGTTATTCCTGATGCATCATATTATATAGGCAAATTTTATTTTCATTGTACTTTAACAATTTCATTATTAAAAAGTATATAATAGCTAGTTTATATTAACTATGTATTGTATGCAAAAAAATCTTATTGTTTGAGTAATAATTTGAGCTGTGGAGTGGTTGGCATTTTCCTAATAAACTTTACATTTTCAATTTGTTCAGGTAGTGTATAAGAACCTGGTAGTGAGTGATTTTCATAATCATTTATGATTTCACTAACATGTTGCTACAATACAAAGTGCAATAGAATTTGTAAATAAAACTTTATAATAAATCAAAATAAAACATTCCGTTTACCTTTATCATTACAAAATGGGAAAATGTCAATACAATCAGCGAAAAAGATCCCTTATTAGTTGTTAACTTGTTTTTAAAACATGACTATGATCTGTATATACTATTATATACTAAGTCAATAATAAATAATTCTATGGTATCTCCTATATTATCAAATGAATTTTTTAAATAAAACATTGCGGAAATAGCAAGTATATAATTATTATAGATATATACCCATGTTTAAAAAAGCCATTGATTTGTTAGGTCCCCCCTTTTTTAGCAACTGGCTAATTGATTTCTTTCCTTTGAGATGTACTTTTACAAAATCTTGGTCTTTCCTATACTGAGTGTAATCCAAAGGCTTAATTTCAGAATTTAATATCACAATATCATCAATTACACAACTAAAGTCTGGCCTTTGTTTCCCATTTACACTCTTATTAAATTTCAGAGTGTAAAGTATGTATTCTCCAACAAAAATGATTTTTATAAAAGGGTCTAAGTTATAAATACTGTACTTAGTTTCAGTTTCTTTCTATTTTGATGACAGTAGAATCTCGCCTTTACTAAGAGAAAAGATAATAAAATTTATTATTATTCCAATAGATAATTCCTTTGTTTTTTGATAATTTTCTGTAATATAATAGCTTACATGTAGTCAAATATGCATCTAACTTTGTCACTTAATTCACTATTATCATCTAGCGTAAAACTACAATTCAATCTGAGTGAAAAATCATTTGTCACTTTATAGAATGCGGTTAAGAGTGAATCTGTCAGAATAGGTTGCATGATTTTATATGGATTTAAGTTAAGGACTTATCGCCATTCGAAACTTGTAAACGTAGAGTAGGAGTAAGGCCAGCACATTACGATTATTGACGATAGGGTCCTAAAATATAATAAAGAAATTAATTCAATATGACTTCATAAGAAAATGCAACAGATATTTTTGGAGTACTTACAATAGTTCAAATGTATTGTTCTACGTCAATTTTGTTTTTTCTGCCTAATACTTGCGATTAGTTGTCTTTGATACTCCTTAAATTTTATCGACACATTAACCGTGCCTACTTCCCACTAAACGTAAAAATAACATAGCTTAAATACAATAAATAAAATCAAAAGTTCAGTTACTACTATATACCTCATTTAATAAGCTGAATGTTATTTGCTGTTCTAATTCTTCTAGATCATCACATTTAATTTCTATTGTTTCATCGGTACTGGAAATTTATTCATCAGCCTCCTCAATAGGCGATTTGTTTAGGCATTATGATTTACTATCAAAGGATGCAGACCTTTTGTGGTTTTAATCTGAGTTTCTCTGCTAGACCCTGCAATCTCTAAAGATTGAGAACTTGATGATGGTGACGTATTTTTTGAACGTGATCTTGAAAAATTAGAACTCATAGATCCTTCGGCTCTATTGTTGCTAATGAATAGACCATCAGAATCATTCCATCTATGTCTTCATTTCTGGCGGTGATTTTGGCCTATTCAAATAACAAGTAGACAATAAAAAATCTTTTCAGAGGAATTCGCGTGAACATATCATATAGGGTTGCATTCTATACACACCTTTTTAACTGAACCATTCAATTCTTTATCCTGTAGATATAATAGGAAGTCTTTAAAAAATGCTAACCATAAAATTCAAGGCGATATTTTTATACCAAAAAAAACTTTACCAACCTTTTTCGAGAGTGACAATTTTTTTTCCGCTTTTGCTGGACAGGTACAAAAGATTGGAAATCGTCATCAGACTAAATATAAAGAAAGATTTGATTTCTATCAGACAATCACCATCTCATAACTTCCTACCAAAAAGATTATGCATCTGTATCTCTTGGCCTTGTTTTGATGACAATCTAGTATTGAATGTTTCGTCATTAACCGTTCTGATTCCTAGAAAGCTATCCTTAAACGTTGGGTAATGCAGGTGTACTGAAGTTCTAGCACACTCTTTACTTTTTTGAGATAGCCAATCTCGTAATATCTGGTAATCAAGTCGGGAACTCTAGAATAAGAGAACTTGGGAAAATTAGTAGTATCCTTGACTAGTACTTAACAATTTTTATCTAATTTTTTTTCATTCCACTAAATCGTCTTAGAGGCTTGACGCAAATAATCTTAGAGGTTATTTGCGCTCCAGTGGGCCAGTACTAGGTCGTCTTAGAGGCTTGAACATCAGATAATCTTAGAGATCATCTGTACCTGAGTACTAGCTTTATAGCTCGACTTAAAGACTTGAATGACAGAGATCTTGGAGGTCCCTACCACGCCACTATTTCTTATCTATTTTATCTATTATATTCTTGCACTTACCTGTTTATATTGCTTATACAAATGTAATGCTTTTTTGCTTCTTTTACCACTCTCATTCTTAGTGATGGCCACAAGAGAGGTGAGATATTGTCCAATTTTATCAAGGAATGATTTTGCTTCACAATCATTCAAAAAACTTATAATAGTTTATTCAGAGGACTTGCGATCAAAATACTTGTGTACCCACTTTTCTGACATGTACTGAAAGGTACAAGTCTATTTGGTTGAGTATTGTGTTCGTCAAAAGGAAGAACTTACTGTATAAAAAATTGAGTTGTAAGCTAAAAGAAAAGCAAGAATTATTAGATCACATGGTTATTGATGAGTTTTAGTCACGTGCGCATTATATCTGTGTAATGAAAAAATTTATGTTCAAAATTTTATTAATTTTTCAGATAAATAGCTAATGATAGAGATAACAAATAAAATGTATGATGTTATCAAAGAGGGAAGGAATACGCAGATCTTAGGTCATTTAATACAAGTTTTAGCATCAAGTTATTTCTTTGCTTAATTGTAAATTTCTATCACATTCACTATATTCATTATATCTACCATATCCATTATATCTATCATCATCTAAATCATCTAGCATTTTCTCTTCAGAATCATTGGAATTAGAGCCATTGTCTGACTTACTTTCGTTTGTTTCTCTCCTAATTGAGAAACAACTTCTTTATTTATTTCTTTACCGACTGGGATGTAAAATCAATTTCTTTATTAAAATATACACAATCCTTCGCACAATCTTTCAAAAGTATTTTGTAAAAATCGTCTTCAACTTTAAGCGAATTGCTTGGGCTGACTTTTTTGGAATCATCAGAAGAATTAGAGTTATGGGTTAAAGAAATAGATACTGTTAATTCGTTTACCTCTGCTGAAACTAAGAAATTTACTTACATCTCTGACGTATTAGTTTGACTGAAAGAATCATCGTTAATAAAATTATCCTGATTTTTACTGAAATCTGTACTGGGCTTATTTAAGAAATAATTCATAATCTTTTGGATTTCATCATTAGTAAACTTTGATATTTCATTCACACTATACGATTTGATATACTAGATTTTATCTAATTCTATTTTTTCGAAAAGTTTGTAGATCTTCTCAGCTTTCTGAATTTTTTTGCATAAACTATTTCTTGTTATGTCTGGGAGTAGCATCCCTGTATCTTGAGATCTTTCTTACGAAGGATATTAACTTGCTTCACGACTTTATCGTATATTAGACCTCTTGCTTTCTTTTTACTAATTTTATTTTTATCACACAAGGCCTTTAACTAAAATACGAAATTTCTTCTATAGTAGTACCAGCAAAATATTTCTTAATTTGCTTCCAATCTATACTCTTTTGCAATAAGCGCTTTATCATATAACTGGGCCAAATGCTGAGATATTTCTATCATAGTAGTCCCATGAAATGAAGACATTAATGCATCTGAATTATCAGATTTGTGAGACTGTGTGGTCTCAAAAATTTTAGTCACATGATTGTCTTTAGGCATAGATGAAGAAATTTCTTGAATCAATCCCTGCATATTTTTTTCATTCTTCTTTTTCTTATTACGTCATTTTATTTTACTACTAACGATTTTCTTATGAGTCTTAAGCAAAAAACTATCCATATCTTTCTCTTTTAACGATTTGCTATTAAGATGCTTTGCAAAGTTAGCAGGTACTATCGCTACTTCTGTTATCAGTTTTTGTTTATTATAGCAAACCTCTTCAGGAAAGGAATTATCTGTTTCTTCATTCACCAATGATTTCTCATGATACTTCACAATTGAATTAAAATTAGATATACTATTATCAGAAGGATTATCATTATATGACTACTCTTTTACTAATAAGGAAGCCTGTTCTACTATCGCAAATCTGATTTCAAGCTTCTTATTTTTTTGCTCCAGTTCCTCAACTCTAACATCATGTCTAGTATTCTCCTCTATAATCTGCTTTAAAAGTTCAGTTTTTTCAGCCTCAAGCTCAGCATTCTTAGCCTCAAGTTTAGCGATATGCTATTTTAATACTTCAAGCTCAGATATTATAATTGATAAATTTTATATAAGAAGTGAAATATTCAAAAGTTAGTTAGTATATATAAATATATATAGAGACTGTGATATTTTACCAAAAAAAATAGGTTATAAAGTTACCAAATTTCTGAGATTGCATGGTCTCAAAAAAATGTCAAGAAAAAATTTCAAGATATATATTATTTTTGATAATTTTTTTGATTTTAATCTTCTTACTAGCTGGAAAACTATCTATACTAACATGATCTTTTAACAGTCTAACAATAATACCTAGTACCCTTTTCACGTTGTTTCAGAGTAACTTTAGATTTTCTTTAATGATAGATTTTGTGAGATTAATCTGATATTCGCTTCTACTCGTTATCACTGGGTTCGTTTTCGTTATCTTAACGTCTAAGTTGAAAGGCTGCGGCAGCTGATTCTATACGTTAGAGTTTCCGACCTTAGGATTTTCTCTAAGTCCTATAGGTATCCGTTATACTTGAATCAACTCGGCAATTTATCACGTCTTAGAACTTAAGATATGTTAGTCGAACTCGTAAT